AATTTTTTTTAAAAGCACACATTTTTCACACAAAAACCTTGTTTAGGCACAAAATTAACCCCTTAAATTGCCCTTTAATTTTAACCCCTTTCCTACCATGTCAGACACATCTGTGTTTTTATACACTGATCACTTTTTAGCCACTGGTGATGTCAGGGCAATTACTTAGTTCCCACAAAGTGCCATTTTCAGATGCCCGCACCGCACTACACAGTCCCACTGATTGCCTGCTATTACTAGTAGAAAACAAATAAATAAAAATTCCAGTGTATAAATACGATAGTTTTGTAGACACTATAACTTGCATGCAAACCAATTAAACATAAGTTATTGGATTGTTTTTTTTTTTTTACCAAAAATTTGTAGTAGAATACATTAAGGCCTACATTTTTATGAAGAAATTTAGATTTTAAAGTATGTGATTGTGTTTGGTGTTTTTGTTTATGTTTATATGTTATTTATTATTTTTATATAGATTTGTGTTTGTATTTATATAGTGTGATGTGAGTTTGTGTGTATATATATATATATATGATATATATCATATATATGTTGTGTGTTGTTTTTTTTTATAGGTTGTGTTTTGTTTGTTATTATATATATAATATATATTTATTTATATTGTGTGTAGAGTATATATTTAGCGTATTATTTTATTTTTTTTATTGGTGTTATTTTTACTATTATTTTTTTTTTTTTTTAATAGCAGAAAGTTAAATATATTGTCGGTGGTCAAAATTTTCGGCCTTTTTTTTGTTTATAAAACAAATAAAAACCCAATGGTGATAAAATACAACCAAAAAAAAAAAAAAAAAAAATTATATAAATTCCATTTGGGTACAGTGTTGCGTTGACAGCGCAATTACCAGTTAAAGTAGCACAGTCCTGAATAGCAAAAAGTGGCCTGATTCATGAAGGGGGTAAAACCCTCCGGAGTTTAAGTGGATAATCTACTGCAATACAAGGTGGGGTTTTTTTTTGTTTTTTTTTTATTTGTTTTGTGTTATTTTTATGTTTTTTTTGTTTTTGTTTTAGTAGAATAGGGGAAGGCTGTCCTCCTGCCTTCTTTATATTGCCTTTGTGCCTTGTTGTAGACTTTCCTTCACTTCCTTATGAGAAAAAAAGAGGAAACTAGACCTCTGGTTTTAGCAGTTAACCCCGGCAGGTGATTCTCTAATCACCCCCGTGCTCTCCTAATATAATGACGAGAATGATTTGGGTGAATTTACGCTTTTTATGAATATATGAAGATGTGTTCATTGATTTCCTTTTCTTTGTCCTCTTGTCCCCCCCCCACCCCCTCCCAGCTGCAGAGCTCCGATTCCTTGGATACTCTGGAAAGACTTATTGACCTCAATAATGGGGAGGGTCAGATCTTTTACCATCGATGGGCCCCTGTGCTTAAAGAATGTCCAGTCCATGTTCGGGTAAGTGAGCTCGCCTGCCCTGCATGGAGTCTGTCTCTAGTTAATTTACTGCCGGATATTGCCGGCTTGTTAGAGATTAGTTGTCATGTGAGAGGATTATAGTGTATTAGCTGGCTCTGAGTTTCTTGCATGACAGATTTCTCTTCCTAACTGACGTTTTTTTTAGTTCATTCCACGTAAAAACAACATTTTTCTCCTTTTCCAGGAAACTTATTGATGTGGGCGTACACTCCGTTCCATGCAGTGCTGAAGTGTGGGAACCTGTCCTCTGATGTCCAGGTCTTCCCCAGGGCCGGAATCTGTTGTCATAGATGAAGAGACCGATCCAATTCCTAAATCTTTAAGTACAGGTAGAGGCATGTCATATGGTGTTTACTGCCTGTCTGTTTAAAGCACTTGTGTACTTTACCAGGCACTAATAAGCCCCCCCCCTTACCCAAAAAAATTTAGCAGCTACAAATTCATACTGTAATACTGTAAATAATGTCCTTTTATTGAAGGACACTTACCTGTCCAGGGCATCATGCAATATTGTACCCATAGAAATCTTTGATCATTCAGCTTTGGGTCCAGGCACCGAGCTTCTTAACCATTTCCATTCCGGGCACTTTTACCCTTCCTGCCCAGGGCCATTTTTTTTCAGCGCTATCACACTTTGAATGACAATTGCGCAGTCATAAACATTGTACCCAAAAAAATTTTATCATTTTTTCACATTACTAAAATTTTGGTGGTATTTAATCACCGCTATTTTTGCTAAATTAACAAAAAAAAACGAAATTTTGAAAAAAAAAACTGTTTTTTCTTGATAGTTTCACTGATGGGCACTGAAAGGCAAATAAAGGGCACTGTTAGGCATACTAATTTGGCACGGATAGTTATTCTGATAGACAGCACTAATGAGGTGTCACGGATAGGCCCACTAATTAGGCAGCACTGATAGTTTGCGGAACTTATAGAGTTCACAAACTATGATGGTACTGATAGACCGGCACTGACTGGCATATCACTGCTGAAGTACTGACTGGCGGCACTGACTGGCACAACCCCCCAATGGGCACTGACTGGTCCACTGAATGTCAGAACAGTACTGATGGTCCCCCAAATGGTCAGCACACTGGTGGGGTATGGCCCCAAATCAGATACTCCCACAAATGTCAACTGGTGGGTGATCTGGTGGGCAAACAGTGGTGGCAACAGGAACAGTACAGATATCCCTGTCAGAGTGGCAGATTTCCCCAAATGGTCACTGTACAGACACAAATGTCAAACTCGGTGTGATATCCCCCAAATGTCAGAACATACAGATATCCCCCAAATGTCAGAACAGGTACAGATATCCCCCAAATGTCAGAACGGTGGCAGATATCCCCAAAATGTCAGAACAGTACAGATATCCCCCAAATGTCAGGACAGTACAGATATCCCCCAAATGTCAGAACAGTACAGATATCCCCCAAATGTCAGAACAGTACAGATATCCCCCAAATATCAGGGCAGTACAGATATCCCCCAAATGTCAGAACAGTTACAGATATCCCCCAAATGTCAGGATCGTACAGATATCCCCCAAATGTCAGAACAGTACAGATATCCCCCAAATGTCAGAACAGGTACAGATATCCCCCAAATGTCAGAACGGTACAGTACAGAACGATATCCCCCAAATGTCAGAACAGTACAGATATCCCCCAAATGTCAGAACAGTACAGATATCCCCCAAATGTCAGAACAGTACAGATATCCCCCAAATATCAGGGCAGTACAGATATCCCCCAAATGTCAGAACAGTACAGATATCCCCCAAATGTCAGGGCAGTACAGATATCCCCCAAATAATCAGAAAGGACAGTACAGATATCCCCCAAATGTCAGAACAGTACAGATATCCCCCCAAATTCTATCAGGGCCAAATTCAGAACAGGGCAGATATCCCCCAAATGTCAGAACGGTACAGATATCCCCCTATCCCCCAATGTCAGAATGAGTACAGATATCCCCCAAATGTCAAATGTCAGAACAGGACGGTACAGATATCCCCCATTTGTCAGAACGGTACAGATATCCCCCAAATGTCAGGTGTACAGATATCCCCCAAATGTCAGGGGTACAGATATCCCCCAAATGTCAGAACGGTACAGATATCCCCCAAATGTCAGGGCAACAGTACAGATATCCCCCAAATGTCAGAACGGTACAGATATCCCCCAAATGTCAGAACGTACAGATATCCCCCAAATGTCAGAACACAGTACAGATATCCCCCAAATGTCAGAACGGTAGAACAGTACAGATATCCCCCAAATGTCAGGACGGTAACAGATATCCCCCAAATGTCAGAACGGTACAGATATCCCCCAAATGTCAGTTATAAGTTCACACGGTACAGATATCCCCCAAATTCAGGAACGGTACAGATATCCCCCAAATGTCAGGACGGTACAGATATCCCCCAAATGTCAGGACGGTACAGATATCCCCCCAAATGTCAGGACGGTACAGATATCCCCCAAATGATCGCTTTTTGCAGAGTAGACAGTCCGAAGTACCTCATAAGAGGCATGGCGAGTTTTTTGAAGTTGTATTTTTTTTTGTCATAATTTTTTTTTTCGGAAAATGAAAAATTTTAAAAAATGTTCACTATTTTTTTTTTTTTACATACTGTCACCAGTGCAGTACAGCGTCATCATATAACTGGCATGGCGGTGAACAGGGACACTGACTGGTGACAGTATGAAAAAAAAATATATATTTTTTTTAATTTTTTTTATTATTTTTATTTTTTTATTACTTTTTTTTTTTTAAAGATTTTTTTTCATATTTTACTATGACGCAACAGGGCCGGTACTCAGATCTGTCATCGGTCGACACGGCCGGTGACAGATTGCGCGACTCTGCAGGCGTGCAAACTGCGCATGCCCGAAAGGATGCCATATGGCGTCCACCCGGAAAGGTGAGGGTTTTTGCCGGCCGCCATTTGGCCATAGGCCGGGCGGGAAGAGGTTAAAGTGTTACTGAACCCACCACAGTACAATCAGTCTGTATGTGCAGTAAAGCATGCTTGTTATACTCACTGTGGACCCACTGCACTGCATTCCTGTGCAAATCCCATGCGATTTGTGTGCGGTGCGATCGGAGCCGTACGTTTTGTATGGCTCTAATCACATCGCACCAAAAAGGTGCAGGACCCCTTTTTTTTTTTTTTTTTGGTCCGCACTAGAATCGGCTTGCATGGGTATTCACACCTATGTGATCCGATTCTGCACATCGCACCGCGTTTTGTGGACCGCTTTTGGGGTGTTGTTGACTTAACATACACACCTGCAGCGGTTCGCATGAACGGGGTGCGATTCTGATGCAGTGCGGAATTCGCACAGAAAACGCTGCAAATTCCACATTGTATCAGTGTGAACCCCGGGCTAAAGGGCTTTAAGATAAAAGGTTCTAGAGCTGCCTGATCACTTTTATGGGGCTTTGAATGTGTCTTGGCCTGCACTTTGACAGCAAGGCTCGGTTCACAATACTACGGGCTGTTTTCTGTACAACAAAACATGGCCGCAGGGTCAGCTCATGGTCTTTTTGACCATGCGGTGTCCCTGTGGTTCCTGCATCCGCACTCGTGCTGCAGGCCTAAAATGCGTGGTGTCTCGTAAGAGTAGCATGGTTTGGCTGCGGGTGGTTGCGGATGTGGGAAGAGATGCGATTCCTGCGACCAGTCTTAAGGAGTAGTGACTTGCAGATGAGGATTTCTCTGCGCTCTCCTCTACTACGTGCAAACTCCCAGTGATAGACTGAGGGCATTGTGCAATATAGTCTGACTGACTCAGAGTGCTGCTCATATCCCTCCCAGCTTAGCAGAAGTTAAAGAATATAATGAGAAATTCAGGTGCTCCCAAAGTAAGTTAAAGCTGATTCCTTGCCATGTCCCTGTCCACCCCCTTCCCGATCAACATGCAATTATGTTTTTTCAGTCAAGTTATTCTGTTTTCACTGGGTCTGACTGCTGTCTTTTGATGGTAGTGGCCAACAGGCTATTGTAAAGGTTGCAGCACTTTGCCTTGAATCTTCTTTTAAAAACATTACATGAAAGAACACATCCCTGGACACCCTTTAGACGTGCATGTTTCTCCTTGAAGACTTGAGGAGTGCAATTTCTTTGAGGAAGACTTTAGCTGTGCCATTTACTGGTTGATATCCTAAGCCAGGATGCCAAGGATGTGCTCTTTTGTTCATATAACACTTGGGAACAAAATGATTGATGGCAGAGAAAGCTAATAGCTGTGAAAGGGGAGGGCGCCGACCACCATACAAATCAGGAGAGGAATTGAGCAATGATTGAAAGTAGGTTTAAGATAGTTGCTGGGTGAACTCAATTTACAGAAATATTTTTTTTACTCCCAGTATTGCATGAGCCAGAAGGGTGAATTTTCAGCATGTATTTTCAGTTTGTTGGTATTCTTTCTTCAGAACTGGAAATCATTGGCTTTATTGACATTGCGGACATCTCCAGTCCTCCTGTCCTTTCTCGTCACCGGTCCTACCTATTGCTGTTAATAAAGGTGAGCATTTACTGAGATGTGGCTTAGCTGGGTCAGGTTGGAAGTGTATGTGCTAATTATTTGATGTCTTCATAGAGGGTGATGATATTGGGGCCGGAATCACGGATGACTTAGAAGATGAGAATTCTGCCAGCCAGATAGCAGGAAAAATCCCACATTTCTGTGTTCTTCTACATGGTAGCCTGAAGGTGGAGGGTATGGTGGCCTTAGTACAGTTGGGGTAAGTGTGTGTGTATATGTATGTATGTGTATATGTATGTGTATATAAATATATATGTGTGTGTGTGTATATATATATATATATATATACACACAGGTGAAACACGAAAAATTAGAATATCATGCAAAAGTTCATTTATTTCAGTGCAGCAACTTAAAAGGTGAAACTAATATATGAGACTCATTACATGCAGAGCAAGATAGTTCAAGCCGTGATTTGTCATCATTGTGATGATTATGGCTTACAGCTCATGAAAACCCCATCAATAAAACAAGGATTGTACATAGAACAATATTGGACCTCTGAAAAGTAGAAGCATGCATATGTACTCAGTACTTGGTTTGGGCCCCTTTTGCAGCAATTACTGCCTCAATGCGGCGTGGCATGGAAGCTATCAGCCTGTGGCACTGCTGAGGTGTTATGGAAGACCAGGATGCTTCAATAGCGGCCTTCAGCTCTTCTGCATTGTTCGGTCTCATGTCTCTCATCTTTCTCTTGGCAATGCCCCATAGATTCTCTATGGGGTTCAGGTTAGGCGAGTTTGCTGGCCAATCAAGCACAGTAATCCCACGGTCATTGAACCAGGTTTTGGTGCTTTTGGCAGTGTGGGCAGGTGCCAAGTCCTGCTGGAAAATGAAGTCAGCATCCCCATAAAGCTCGTCTGCGGAAGGAAGCTAGAAGTGCTCCAAAATCTCCTGGTAGACGGCTGCGTTGACCCTGGACTTAATGAAGCACAGTGGACCAACACCAGCAGATGACATGGCTCCCCAAATCAACACAGACTATGGAAACTTCACACTGGACTTCAAGCATCTTGCAGTGTGTGCCTCTCCATTCTTCCTCCATACTCGGGGTCCCTGGGGTCCTTGGGCCTCTCCATTCTTCCTCCATACTCTGGGTCCTTGGGCCTCTCCATTCTTCCTCCATACTCGGGGTCATTGGTTTCCAAATGAGATGCAAAAGTTGCTCTCATCAGAAAAGAGGATTTTGGACCACTGAGCAACAGACCAGGTCTGTTTTTCTTTAGCCCAGGTAAGACGCTTCTGACGTCGTTTGTTGTTCAGGAGCGGCTTGACAAGAGGAATACGACATTTGAAGCCCATGTCCAGGATCCGTCTGTGTGTGATGGCTCTTGATGCACTGACTCCAGCCTCAGTCCACTCCTTGTGAAAGTCCCCAACACTTTTGAATGGCCTTTTCATGACAATCCTCTCCAGGCTGCGGTCATCCCTGCTGCTTGTGCACCTTTTTCTTCCACACTTTTCCCTTCCACATAACTTTCTATTAATGTGCTTTGATACAGCACTTTGGGAACATCCAACTTCTTTTGCAATTACCTTTTGAGGCTTTCCCTCCTTATGGAGGGTGTCAATGATGGTTTTCTGCACAACTGTCAGGTCAGCAGTCTTTCCCATGATTGTGATTCCTACTGAACCAGACTGAGAGACCATTTAAAGGCTCAGGAACCCTTTGCAGGTGTTTATGGCTTAATTAGCTGATTAGAGTGGGACACTTTGAGCCGAGAATATTGCACCTTTTCACAATATTCTCATTTTCTGAGATTGTGGATTTGGGGTTTTCATGAGCTGTAAGCCATAATCATCACAATGATGACAAATCACGGCTTGAACTATCTTGCTTTGCATGTAATGAGTCTATGTCATATATTTAGTTTCACCTTTTAAGTTGCTGCACTGAAATAAATGGACTTTTGCACGATATTCTAATCTTTTGAGTTTCACCTGTATGTATGTATGTATGTATGTATGTATGTGTGTGTGTGTGTGTATATATATATATATATATATATATATATATATATATATATATATATAGTAATGGGGTTCGCTCGGCAGCGGGGGGGGGGTGACCCCCTGGATGGGTGCACAACACACAAAACACAGGCACAGCACAACAACAGTGGAGGTGAAAAAACAAAAAGGTGCAGTTTATTTACAATATTTACAGGAAAACGCCAAACCAAAAAGAAACATCAAATAAAATCCTGGCCAACTTGACTACTTACTGTACAAACAGCTTCCCTAGCTATCCACTAGGTACAGCCTGATGCTATACCTAGTCGCTGGTAGTTGGAGGCTAGCCACACAGGCTTTTGGCTCCCTGCACACAGATAATATGTTGCTCCCGAGTCAGTTCAGGCACAGATCTGGTTCCAGGTTGGAGCCACTCCCTAAGCAGGCTGGGAAGTTTTAAACAGCCTTAATGAGCCCACTACCTTCAGCTGGGCTCATTACCTCAGTGCCGAAGGACTCAGCACTTCCCCCCCAGTGGAACAAATCCCCATGGAGTCTGAAACCTTGGACAAATGTATCGTCCATCTAGGACGCAACCAGGTGATTTCAGCTGCCTACTGTCAGTACACACGCACGCGCACACACGCCATAGCATAATGGCCAATGACCGGTAAAGTAAATAACATTGGTTATCTCATTATGACACCAGAAAGTGGGTGGGATGGATTAGGCAGCAAGTGAACATGTTGTCCCTGAAGTTAATGTGTTTTTGAAAAATGGGCAAGCATAAGGATTTGAGCAACTTTGATAAGGGCTAAATTGTAATGACTAGACGATTGGATCAGTGCGACTCCAAAATTGCAGCTCTTGTGTGATGTTCCCAGTCTGCAGGGGTCAGGACCAAACAAAAGTGGTCCAAGGAAGGAAAACCGGTGTCATCGGCGGCCAAGGCTCATTGATGCACGTGGTGGGGCAAAGACT